CCATACCCAGTTGTAAAACATATGTAAGGGCTGGGTACTCGAGAATGTGATCCGGGGTAAGTTGGACATCGGTGCAGTTCTTGCAGGGAATATAAGTTCTTATTTCGTCGGGAAGAATTTTCATCCCTTTAAAGTGGTTTGTTCTTAGTCTAGTAATTGTTGATGTTAAGATTCGGGAGCAATCAAAGTCAGTAATGAGGGGTTTCCTGAAGGAATGGGGAAGAAGTCTGTGTCTTGCAACTGCATTTGCGTCTGCAAGCATGATGGTGGAGGAAGGTTGGTCGGCAACTCTGCCTTCCTTAGCCAAGGATCTCACGAAGATATATATGATATGATATATGACAAAAAGGCCAAAAAATTACGTTTTTATCAATAAATTAAATGAATCTGAATTATGACCCCTTAAAAACGAAAGTGAAATTTCGATACAATCTGAAAAAGATAATATTCAAAGCATTTATCTGAGCTCCCAAATCTCCACCAAAATTTTTCATGTGGTAGCAAAATACTCATCAAGCATTTTGAAGTTCTCCTAAATTCGCAACCACTTAAACATAAATAGTATTCAGCTAGTATTCAATATATATGCAAACCTTTGTGGAGGTCAAGAAAAATTTAATGATTAATATTTATAAACAAGAAAGGTATTTTGTGGCATCAATTTTGCTGCCAATTTAAAATTTTTGTCAGACATTTGGTAGCTCTGTATCATGCTTTGGCTTCAAATGAGACAGATGCTTGAGATTTTTTACAGATCTTGAATACTTTCCCATCGCTGCTTTTAAACCTGCAATCAGTTTTCTTCTAAAACAAAATTTTTTGTGCAATTTACATTACTGACGGCTGAGTGCCCCCACCTTTCTGGTACGTAAGGCGTGGTAGAAAGCTGGGGCGTAATTAGATTTCTGTTTAAAATGCGATAAATTAAGATGACAAATTCTTTGTCTTTAGCAGTATTGCATTATTTTCAAAGTATATTAATGTATATATTTATATAAACCTATACATTCTTTGTAAGCGTGCACACTCAAAATAAAAAATTAACTAAAAATACCATTTTGAAAAAATAAAGATCGACAGCTTTCGGAACAAAACAAATTTCAGATTTGAAATCCCGAATTAGATGAGATCAAGTATTTCTATAAATAAAACAAAAAAATTGAGTTATTAATACATTATGGTACACAGAACTGTCTTGTTTATGCAACACATATAAACACTAACACTACCATTTTTACTTTTTCTTACAAAAAGAAATCAAATCTTTAAAAAAACTCTAGGCACAAACGAGTGAAAGACTTTCCGTAGTATTAGTAAAATAAAAATAATTATATATATATATATATATATATATATATATACCTTT